TTTTTTTAATGGGGCTTCTAGGAGTAAATGACTAAATTCTCCAGGCCCTTTCCTGATACCTAACCACCTCTCTGTCTCCGCAGGCAAAGGCTGCCCTTCGCTGCTCCACATGGACCCCTTCAGCTGTGCCCAGTGCCGCACCGACTTCACCCCCCACTGGAAGCAAGAAAAGAGCGGCAAGATCCTGTGCGAGCAGTGCATGACGTCCAATCAGAAGAAAGCACTGAAAGCAGAGCACACCAACCGACTAAAAAATGCCTTTGTCAAAGCCTTGCAGCAGGAGCAGGTAGGTTTCTTGGTAAAGAGCCATAATCGGAGCGCTATGGTGTGGTCCACACAATTGTCGCTAACCCACTCTTCTGTGCTTCCGCGTCCTATACATCGCACACACTTGCATCAACAATCACATGGGAGGAGGACCTGTCTTAGGTTAGAGGTCCTGTCCTGTGTGAGGGAGGTGGAGGGTGAGGACCTGTCTCGGGTTGGAGAGGTGGATAGAGAGCCCTGTGTAGGCGGAAGGGGAAGGGTGAGAATCTGTCTCAGGTTGGAGGTTTAAATAGAGGGTCTTGTTTATGTGGGAGGTGAAGGGTAAGGATCTGTTTCAGGTTAGAGAGGTAGATTGAGGACCTTGTGTATGAAGGTGGTGGAGGCTGAGGACCTATAGAGGACCTTGTGCATGTTGGAGGTGGAGGGTGAAGACCTGTTTCAGGTGGGAGAGGTAGATAGAGTACCTTGTGCATGTCGGAGGTGGAGGGTGAGGACCTGTGTTAGTTTGGAGATTTAAATAGAGGGCCTTTTTATGTGAGAGGTGGAGGGTGAGGACCTGTCTCAGGTTGGAGAGGTAGATAGAGGACCTTGTTTATCTGAGGGGTGGAGGGTGAGGACCAGTCTCAGGTTGGAGATTTAGATAGAGGGCCTTGTTTATGTGAGGGGTGAGGACCTGTCACAGGTTGGAGATTTAGATAGAGGGTCTTGTTTATGTGAGAGGTGGAGGGTGAGGACCTGTCTCAGGTTGGAGAGGTAGATAGAGGACCTTGTTTATGTGAGGGGTGGAGGGTGAGTACCTGTCTCAGGTTGGAGATTTAAATAGAGGGCCTTGTTTATGTGAGGGGTGGAGGGTGAGGACCAGTCTTGGATTGGAAGTTTAGATAGAGGGCCTTGCGTATCTGAAAGGTTGAGGGTGAGGACCTGTCTTAGGTTGGAGTTCCACATAGAGGGCTTTGTGTATGTGGGAGGTAGAGCGTGAGGACCCGTTGGAGATGTAGATAGAGGGCCCTTGGTGTGGGAGATGAAGGTTGAGGAGTTGTCTCTGGTTTTAGGGGGTTGATAGAGAACCTCAAGTGTGGGAGGGAATTCTATATACAGTGGTCTATATCCACTGTGAATCTACCAGTGACCCGACACAACAACAAAAAAGCTACTGCACAGGTAGTGGACATGCTCTTCATTAAGGATTCTACTGACCAGTAGCTAGAATCCCTCTTTGAAACTGAATGGAAAAAAAAAATGAATGTCATTTTTTGAACGTTATTTGTTTGGTCATTAATGTGATTTTGCATATAGTCGGCTTTGAATTGGCGGGTTTATTTCTGACGTAGGAGAGGTGCGCAGGGAGGTTTGGGCCTGCGGAGAACCATCTCTCAGCCGGGGAATTGTTTGAAGTACAGAGATTAGTTGTGATTGGAGGAGATGGTGCTCCAGGTGTCAGGACGAGTAAATGGAAGGATGGTTTGATAGAGGTTTCAGGTACTGAGACCTATTTCTGGATAGAATGCATGGCACCTTCTCACCATGCAGGGCACTTTTCCCAACCAACTCTACCCATCGGTAATGTGCTTATTGTCCTATTTCTCAGACAAGAGCAGGTGCAAGTATAAAGCTGTAAAGGAGCAGTTTGAACCTAGAGTACCTTCTCAGCCTCTAGAACACTCACCTCCCAGCCTTGTGCTCTTCTCACCAAGCAGCGTGGTCTCCTCCTATTCCTCCAGGATGAGGAGTGGCAGATGTATAAAATGGTAAATGAATGGTTCAGATTCACAGAGGCTTCTACTAGCCATCTACTCCTATCGAAGAGCAGTGTGCTTTCTTCCTATTTGTCCAGGACAAGGACTGGTGGAATTATAAACCAGTAAAGGGATGGTTTGAATTCACTGCATCTTCTCTTCTGTATGCAGAGCACTGACCCCCCCAGCATCTGGTCCTCAGAGTGTGGTGTTCTCATCCTCTTATTGCCCCAGGAGAAGGATTGGAAACTGGCTCTCCTCAACTGGTAGTCTCTGCATCGTGTGGAGAGGTTTGCACACTTAGGTGCATTTCAGATCCTATGTGAATTGTCAGCGGACGGAACACACTAGCTTTCTGCTGCAGGTACCCTCTGTTGGGGATAGAGCACCTCTGGACGACTTTGCGGGACCAGTCCACCTGGGGATAGGTCCCTCTTTCTTCGGGAAGGGCCTCCGGATGCCTTCCCTTGTTTTACCCATAATCAGTTGAATGCTCTTATTTGTTCTGCTAATGTTCCTGTCCCTCGTCCATGGGTGTTTGATGCTTCACTGGATCTGGGGGGACACGGGAGCTTTCTTAGGCCCATGTCTTGTGGTCAAGATTTGGCAAGCTCTGCAGAATCCTTCTGCAAGATCCCAGGGGAAGTTTTAGTCTCATTCTTAGCTCCTTGTGGTAAGTCCTGTCTGTCCAATGGTTTAGCAGCCTCAATAATCAATTTGCACCCCTTGTGGTGGTAAGTGGGTTGTACTGATACCACAAATTCTCTGGTATACCTTGCATAGGCTAGGCAGCCACTCAGTTATAGAGTCCCCATGGACGTGAACCTAGGGGTTAGTTGTGTAAGGCCTCAGGCCTTCCTATGCAGACTATCTGGTTGCTATTCACCTGGACCTGTTTTTTGTCCTAGGCTCCCCAGTCCTTCTGAGGAACACTGTCCCCGGTGTTTTCTGTTGACTTTATCAGGTTGTGGGTCTTTTCTCACCAATTCAGGAATTTGTTGCCTTTCCACCTGTTTTAGGTGGGTTCTGTTTGATCGGGTTCTTGCTGGTTCAGGTTTGGTGTTCCCTTCAGTGTGGAATCATTCCCCTTTGGTGGTGTCCTTCTCTGTCGTGGTCCGGAGCATCAGGTTGATTCTCTGTGCCCCCGCTTTGGTCATCTTGGAGGTTCCTCTGTTTGGTTGGGTTCCAGTTTCAGATTCGGGCTTGGTCCATCAGGCTGCTCCTTGGCTGCTGGGGGTCCCCAGTCCTCTTTGTGGGACCTGTTAGCAGATACTGTGGTGCCCACCCATCAGTTGACCTGCTTTTCGATGCCCCAACTCTATTCTTTACAGATAATTCAGAATTTAGATAAAGGATTTCTGTACTTACATAAAATAAGATCCTTTTCTTGGAGTCCATTGAGACACACAGTTCTCCTCCTCCTATGTTTTTTTTTCTTACTCTCAGTACTACTTTGCTATAAATCCGAGGCATGATGGTTGTGAGCAGGTTATCCTGTGCTGGCCAGCGGTTTTTTTATTGCCAGTGTACATTTCACCTGTAGACGGCAATAAAACTCGACTGTATTTGAATTCCTGTGTCCCTCAATGGACTCCAAGAAACGTACAAATGAGCTCTCCCAATGTTCTAAGTACACGGAAGGGTTTAAAGTGAACTTACGCTTTTCTAAAGCAGGATTACTTAGACGCCCCTCATCCCAGCTATATATACTTCCTTTCCCGCCTCCACTGTTCTTTTAAGCCCCCGAGAGTGAAAGGGTAAACCTATGTAAGCTTTAAGTCGTTGGGGTTGTACCATACACAGGGTTATGGACTCCCCTATGGCAAGACTGATTGGCCAGGGCTGTCGCATGGACTGAGTCACATGCTTCTTCTCCATTCCTGGAAGTCTATTCTTTGACTCCCACCAACAATTGGAGGGGCGGGAGAGGGAAGAAATGGGAAATATATGCTAGGGGTATATGGGAGATTAACCGCTCGGTTTGTTCGGATCAAGGAGAGCAAGTTCAGGTGACCTGGGACATGAGCACGGAATAAAGGTATTTAGGAGGATTTTTCTGTACATTGCGGGTCGTAGCTGAGCATGTCTGAACCAGAAGAACTGCGCTCTCAGTATGAAATAGGATGGGAACAGAGGGCAGTTTTCTTTCTTGCATTTGTTTTGGGGGGAAACTTTTCAGCCAGATGGTACGGTAGGTCCTGAGGACATTAGAGCAATATATTCAGCCGAGGTTTTAAAATGAAGCCAACATGCCCAAGTTTTGTAATAGGCACAATATTCATCCTTACTAGAATGGAGATGCTCTTCCATCAGCCTCATACCATCTACTCGGGCCAGCCATTCCGTCACAGTAGGCATTAGAGGGGAACACCAGTACTTTGGAATGAGAGATTTGGCGGCATTGAGCATGAAGGGTACTACGGTCTTCTTGTAGGACCTTACCGAGAGGGGGTTGAGATGGAAGAGGCATAACCAGGGGTCCAAGGGCGTGGGAATCCCACTGATGACAGTTATAAGGCGTGTAATCTCCCCCCAGTATTCCCACACCAGCGTGCAACCCCACCACAGGTGAGCAAAGGTGCCCATTGTGCCACAGGTGCGCCAACACAAGGGGGAGGCCGCAGGGCAGATGGCATGGGGGGTGGGTGGGATCAGGTACCATCTGGCTAAAAATTTAAAGTTTACTTCCATCATATGGCTATCTGGAGACACAGAAGAACACATTTGCAATAATTTAGAACGTTGAGAGGGGGTTAAGGAGTGTTGCAATTCCCATTTTCCAATGTAATCGGGGGCAATGTATCCACCAGGTTTGTTAGGGTCTTATAAATTATACATAGGCCATGGCATGGGGGTTCAGATGCCCCTTATAAGTACTCAAAGGGCAAAAAACTTGAGCGAGGAAAGAAAATGTTGGAGCTGTCAGTGTCTCCAGAAGTCCATTGCGTGAGTGCCCCAGTGGCCTCGTTGGGATTGTAGAGATCAGAGTCTTTCTTGCGTTTTATGGTATTGCTGTGTGTCTTGCAGGAGATCGAGCAGAGGTTGCAGCACCAGGCCTCCCTATCACCGGGCACCCCTCCGATCGTCAACAAGCAGGAAAGCATCATGCGGCATCACTCCATGAGACCGGTAGGTGTTGGGTGGAGAACAGAGCAGATGAGAGCTATTCATAACGTGGCCGTGTAAACTTTTATTGTTGTACTAAAGCTTTTCGTGACAAAAGCCTTCCTGATTATAATGGCCACATTAGGCTGCCAGGTGCATGTGAAGTTATGTAACTCCATGGGGATCGTTCTTTGGAGATGACCACCAGCTTACTACAATTTTCTTATGTCCCAGCAGGCTGCACAGCCCCAGAGTGCGATGCAGAGAGGAATGCCCACGGCCCGCTCCATGCTCTCCAACTTCGCCCAGGCGCCTCAATTACCCGTGGCCGGGAGCTTGCTGGGCATGCCAGGTACGGTAAACCTACCCCTCATTATGCAAATGTGCTTATGACCTATCATAGCTTGCTATGATCACACTTCTGAAATGATGTATGGGATGCAAAGGTGACTGTATTATGCCTGCGTGTCTTTTTATTATTATTTATCTAACGAAGAGAACTATTTAGGATCTTGCTATGCTTTAGGCACCACTAAGTACACTTGAGCCCCAGGAGGAGGGGCTGTGGTGTTCCAGTTGCTTGGATGTCATTAAGAACTTACTGCTGTTTCCAGGGGGCTTTGAAGGTGGGCGCGCTTACCCCAGTTGTCAGTGCCGTCACTACCTTGGAAGTAGCTTAAGACTAGGGATGCACCGATTCCCACTGGCTTAAGACTTCATTGCATGCAGGGTGTAGACTGTGTATGCTGCGCTTAGGACCTCATTCCTTGCAGGGTGTAGACTGTGTATGCTGCGCTTAGGACCTCATTCCTTGCAGGGTGTAGACTGTGTATGCTGCGCTTAAGACCTCATTGCATGCAGGGGTGTAGACTGTGTATGCTGCGCTTAGGACCTCATTCCTTGTAAGGTGTAGACTGTGTATGCTGCGCTTAAGACTTCATTGCATGCAGGGGTATAGACTGTGTATGTTGCGCTTAAGACCTCATTGCATGCAGGGGTATAGACTGTGTATGTTGCGCTTAAGACCTCATTGCATGCAGGGGTATAGACTGTGTATGTTGCGCTTAAGACCTCATTGCCTGCAGGGGTGTAGAATGTGTATGTTAAAGAACCTAAAGATAAGCAAAAACCTGACTGGTTCTTTGTATTACCATTGTCTCTTGTACATTACTACCAGGTTTACATTCTGGGTACCTTGTGTATTTATCACTGGCATCCAATAGCAGCCATGAGCTTGTTTTGCCCATTTAATTGCTGCAAGAAAGGAAGCTTTGAAAACAATACCTATGAAATGAATTTGTTCCTTTTACTGGCAGCACCGTATTAATGACTTCTTTGCCACCCAGGTGTGAACATTGCATACCTAAACGCTGGAATGGGAGGCCACAAACCCGTCACCCTGGCGGACCGGCAGCGAGAGTACCTCTTGGATATGATCCCCCCACGTTCCATATCGCAGTCCATCACCGGGCAGAAATAGCCACAGCCTACCCAACCCCCGACACCCCGCATCAAACAGACTGGCAGACCTTACTGAGGCCTGGGATGAGCCAGTCCCCCACCTCTTACCTCCCTCCTTCCCTCCAAGAGCAGTTTATAAAGGTTCAGTGTTTGTGCTTGTTTTGTCCTCAGACTGGCTTCGCTTTTATTTGAATTTTTTTTTTATATACTTTTTATTTTTATTTTATTTTTTCTCGCTGGTGCCACCCGCCTAATAGAACTTTATTTGGATTACTCCTCTTTCTGGCGGACGGTATAAGGCTGGGGGCTGGCTAGGACCTGCCGGTGACCTAGGATATCCCCCCCCATCGCAGTGGGAGGCGGTGCTATTCTGCCAGCTGCCACACCCCCAGGGGAGGGGCAGCCCGTGGTGTCATACTGTCACCACCTTTCAGAAGCTCTGCAGTGCAGAGTATTACTCTCCGTTAAACGGACAGAAAGTCAAAGGAATTGTCGAAGTGTTTCTCCTCCGGAACGTCCTGCTGCCAACGCACCCCGACCACAGGAAGTTGTGAGCTACAGCCGTCTGAGATCCGTAAAAAAAAGACACACGGAGGTTTTACCTTTATTTGCACTAAGCGTGTGCCCATCGCGCCGCAGATCCGCTGAGCGTTTCACAAGCAGCATCTAAAACCCCTCTTTGACTTTGAGCAGGGCGACAGTTTGGTTGCCCCGGAGGATGAGGACCAGGGACTTACCGGAGGACACCCTCGTATCAAGGCGGGGCTTATTCAACATGGACTTTGCAGTGTTCGGCAGCTCGCTCGCGGGGTAAGACCCCCAAGGCCCTCACCCCCTCCTGCACCGGAGTGCCACCTACTTTGTGTTTACTGTGTCTTGGGGACATCCGCAGTATAAAAATGCCCCAGTTGTATTACATACAGAGGAAAAGAAAAAAAAAATAGCACTTAACCCTTTAAAGGAATCCTTTATTGGACTTTTGCTGCAAAAAGTGACAGTTTCAAGGTGACAAGTGGTGCGGTGCAAAACTATCAGTGTTAATCTAATGGCATTGTGCCGAGAGGTGCCAGACCTCTGATCATGGCAATTCTTTCATCCTACAGGGAGCGAAACTTACGATTTGGCCCCCTCGTCCCACGCCCAATGTAAACCAACTGCTCTTTCTACTTCAACTCAGTGTTATTGGACAGCTGTGGCGGTACTGCCCCTCGGAGCCCAGTAGGAGGCGCACATCAGAGTTAAATAACTTCACTTGATTGCTATGTGATATAACCCCTTTCTATGCTACTGCATAGGAAGTCCTAGCCCATTCAGGGACCATTTCGTTGTTGCAGTTTGTGATCTCCAGTGACCGCGTAAGTGCATTGCAGCACACAGATCATCATTTATGGCTCCTAGCAGTAGCATGCAATTGAACTCACCTGAGCTGCATGTGGACACTCTTTGTCTTAGCAGTGATGGGCCAGTCCAATCATAGAATCCAGTACTGTTGGATCCGCTGGCGCTGACTCTCAGCTCCAAAGTTGTCCTTGGTAAAGGGGGAGGAGATAAAAAAATGTCATTAGTAAGCTCTCAGAAATTAAATCATTGGAGGCTGAGCATTTGTATATGTTGATCGCACAGTACAGGACACAGACGACTGGGTATCATCAGATGATTGGACACTGGCCAGAGGTGGGAGGGCCCTCATGTATAACCCCTCCCACTCCAGTTTTTTAGCAAGCAATGACATAGAGGGAAGGCTGCTGTGTCCTGTACTGCGCTCCAGGAAACGTATGTTACTGGTAAGTCAAAATTCCGAAAATTTTTGATTGGCCCAATAAAGGCTCTTCAAACATATAAGGTTATATCCCGAGTTGGCGGTAATGATATGTTAGATTATATAATAAATGTGTGTGCGCCCGCCTAATATGCTCCCTGGGCTCTCAAGAAGGGCAACGTTGCCCCCCACTCCTTACCGCTGGGCCAGTTACAGATGGCGCCTAGCTTGTCAAATTTAGCGTCAGTGGGGTGCGCGTAGGTCAAATTCTCATATGTATACGCAGGCCACGCCCCCATGTTTTCGCTCCACCCCCTCGTTCCCGTTCCCAATCTTTTTTAAAAGTGGCATTTTCCCCCCCCCAACGCCGGCGTCGTCCCTGCGTTTGAGGGGCGCCGCGGTCCCAGCGAAAAAAAACCTTACTTCACCGATGGGTTATTTTGTACATGGAAACCGTTTTCTCGTAACAAAAAAAAAAAAAGGTGCTGCGGAAATAACCACACCCCTCTTCCTTTTATGCAATGATCTTCTATCCCTTCCCCGCCCCAAACCCGATGACATTTTCGATTTTCTTTATACGAAAAATTAATAGGTCAGAAAATGTGTTTTTTTCTTCCCCCTCCTTTGCTTCAGGTTTTGATGCAACAACTTTTTGTTCTCAGTGTAAAAAAGAAGTTATCTCTGGACATAAAATAAAAAAAAGATACAGAAAATGTTGTATATTATGTATAAAAAGAAAACAAAGGTCAAACGGAACCACACAAAGCAAAGTTTAAATGGCGTGAGACTTTTTGTCACTGTGTATCATAATCTGTGTAATTCGCGCGAGCGTGCAAAAGGCGGCGTCCGCCCTCCCATCCATCACACCTTGAGTGGAAAGGGGGGCCATAGGCGAAGGGTGGGCGGGTGTTTGGGGACACCTAAAAAGAAACATTGTCAGGTGAGACTTGGCTCCTCCTGTTATCTTATTGATATAGCTGCAGCGAAACTACAACTCTCAATATGTTCTGGTCAGATCACGGGTTTGGGTATGGGTACCCAGCATGCACCAGGGCGCATGGAATATTAAAAGATAAAATAGGAAACCTGACATGAGATCCTTTCACAGCACGCTAGAGGGAACCCCACTTCCACAGCCTGCCTGGACCTGTGGGCACTGGGGCCATCCGAATGGCGCTGCCGTGTGTCTCAAGGTGAGAAACTGGCGGCACTCCAGTGACATCAGCCTTGGTAAAGCTTTATTGTTCCAGACACTGAACACAGACAGGTGCCATCCGAATGGAGCTACCCTGTGTCTCCAGCAAAGAGACTGGCTGCACTCAGGCGGCATCAGCTTTAGTAAAGCTTTATTGCTCTGTATAATGAACACAGGTGGGTGCCATCCAAATAGCGCTGTCTCAAGGAAATAGACTGGCTGCACTCAGGTGAGATCAGCTTTAGTAAAGCTTTATTGTTCCGTATAATGAACACATACGGGTGCCATCCAAATGGCGCTGCCCTGTGTCTCAAGGAAAGAGACTGGCTGCACTCAAGTAAAGTAAAGTTTCCGGACAATGAAATGCATCAGTATGAAAAGGGTCTGGCTGGACCTTTTGCATTCATTGTCCGGAACAATAAAGTTTTATTAAGGCTGATGTTATCAGAGTGCGACCTGTCTCTGCTTATTTCAATCCAGTCGGGTAAAGAAGAACTCCAGGAATTCTTTAGGGCTGCAGCTAACGATTATTTTCATAATCGATTAGTTGCCAGATTATTTTTTCAATTAATCAATTGGTTGTATTAAAAAAAAAAAATTATCTCTCGCTCTCCAACTAATCGATAATCGATAAATTAGTTGTTGCAGCCCTAGAATAATTTTTATTAACCCTCGCACTTCAAGGGTTAAGTGCTCATTTTTGGTGCTAAAATAACAGTTATACTCACCCAAAGCACCGAGACGGCCAGCTGTCATAACGCTCCCTCCAGCCTGTCTCCCCTTTCCTGCAGCATTGGAATCTTCTTCAGTGTCCTCACCTCCTATATATTGTGTATAGACGATGATTTATGGGACCTTAAACCACTGCAGAGGAAGGGGGGGGGGGGAGACGTTGGAAGGACCGGTCTAAGAAGAAGCGGGCTCGGAGCTTCGGGTGACTCTAACTTTGCGTGTTTTTAGGTTAAAAAAAAGTTTACCCTGTGGGGGTAGCCCCACTGCAAGGGTTCATACAAAAACATTTCCTGAAGTTCTTCTTTAATGATCTAACGAAAAAATAATTGGCAATTTTTCACTCCATTGAAAGCGGAACGATCAGAAGTTGCAAACTTTTTGCTACTTTTTGTGGTTGGATCGCGCTCGGTGTCATTGAACGATCAAAACATTAAAAAAAAAAAAACCTACAAAAATGTTTAATTTGAATGAGAACTATCATTTGAAATTGAAAATGGCAAAATTGCAATTAATATAAAAAAAAAAAAAAGTTGATACAGAATTGGACTATCAGCCAGCATTGGGGCAATAGCCAGGCATTGGAGACTGAGGACAAGGAATTGTGGGGGTCCGGGCACCAGCACCGACCTAATTCCTGACCCGGGGCGGGGGAAGGGGACAAAGCTGCCTTTTGCGCGCTGAAGATGTTCCCTCTTTACTTTTGTTCCCAAACTTTTTTTTATTACCTCGGTTCCACATTGTGTTATTGAGATTTGTTTCTTTCCAGACTCCAGCTCCCCCAAAACAGTGACTGACTTCTGCAGATTAAAAAAAAAATAAAAAAATAAAAATACAAAAAGTTTTAAAAATGAAATATTCCAGAAAAAAAAAAGCTCATTTTTGGAGAAAGGATTTAAAAAAAAAATTCAAAACCATTTGTAATATTTATCACTTGCAAGCTTCGTTTAATAAAGAAAGGAACGGTTTATAACTTTTTATTTTGCTGTGGAGTTCATTGAGGGTGGGGGCGGAGGGGAGGCAAATTGGGCTGGGGCCAGTTTGGTTGTGTCAGCGAATACCGTATGTATGTGTGTGTGTCACCCTGTCACTGATTGCTTCATTCATCATTCATTGCTTCAACACTTCGTTCTCCTCACTCAGAACGAGGAAGTCATAATACACTGCACTCTGGCCGATTGGTGGCCTGAAATCACATTGCTGTCAGGAATGTTCGGCCCGTGCCCATTCAGGGGGTCACTTCCTTCCTGCAGTTTGTGATCTCCAGTGACTACACAAGTGCACTGCAGCACACAAATCATCACTTATGTCCCCTAGCTGTAAAAACATGGCTTCCTCATTCTCACTCCGTTAGTAGTTAACAGTGCAGACTGCAGACAGGCTGTATGTAAACAAAGCAATGATCAATACTGCTATGGGCCTGATGATGGCACAGGGC